CTTGTCTTTTTAAGCAGCTGTAGCCCTTTATTAGTAATGTGCATTGTGTTCAGTGGTAAGGATTATTCCTCTGATGGGAAGGCAGTTTTCATTTCTCCAATTATTCTCCGATTAAAGGTGTGGTGACTTAAGAAGGGTGAGAGAAGATGGAAAGAGAACTCTGTCTGAACTATCTAGTTTCTGGTTCACTACTTCAGGAAACTAGATAATCCACAATGCCTTTATCTATAATTTCATCCTGTAGTACCACAAGAGTGGAGTTGAAGGAGTTTATCAGATCTTCAAGGCAAACACTCTGTTAGCCACAGCATGATAAATGTAATTAAAAGTGTTAGGAATCACAGTGCAAATAAATCTCACCTATTCTAGTTGGAGGAGAAAATGTAAACAGTTCAGACAAGACCAAACCTGAGTCCCCAGCCCTGAGGAGAGTAATGAAAACTCAAGCTAGAGAACCACTGCTGTTGACATAATTGGTATGCCATTTTACATGCACAGGGGCCTAGTAGTGCATCTCATCCCAAAAGATGTACGTGGTCTGGAAGATGGCAACATGAAGACGACCAGCAATTTAAACAATACAAGAAACAAAATTATTAAATCACCCAAATTTTGTAGAATAATGTAAATGAGTAATTTAATGTAGATGAATCCATAAACCCACTCAGTATAGTAAGTGAGAAAGGCATGATTGTGCAATGATCCTGGGGGGGAGAGGTTGGAGGAAAAGAAATTTGCAGACCAGTGTTAAGAATCAGCTGGATATGAATTTAGAGGACATAGGTACAGCAACACAAGATATCAATGGCCTATATTCATACAGAGGCCCTGAATGTTGGGCCCTAAATGTTCAGTTGGATGTGCCAAATGATGTGTGGAATTTCTGTAGGTAGCATATGCCTCAGCAGCATGAGATTTACACTGGTGGAAGTGAGATCAGAACCTGGCCCATTGTTTGTATATTAGCCTTAAAAATTCTGCTCCCTTATTTAATACTCTTTCTTCTTCCCTGTGGTCATGAGTCAGCAATCCATCTTACCTCAACATAGCACTTACGCAGATGTTTAATTCAAGAACATGTTTAATGCTTTGCTGAGCTGGAGCCTGTTTGCATTCAGTTTACTTTGCAAGAGATGCATTCAGATTCTGAGGCTTATGCAAATGGATTACCAAACTGATGCCTGTCTTTTCTAGTACAGATATACCATGATGGGTGCCAGTGTACTGTAGGTTGCTATTTGTCAGGGACATCTTACTTTAGAACAACAATTTAATAATATGCCACTGATCAAGACAACTAAGGTACATTTTTAAGATACCAAAAGCCTTTCAGTGACTAATCTGGTGAGCCTGGGGGGCCTCATTATAATGTAATTCTAAGGGAGTTTGTAAATATGAGGCACAAGCTTTGGTTAATTCTTAAGGGGATCTGTCTCACCTGAAAAGCAGGCACCAGGATAATTATGCTCCTTCCACTAGTAGCAGTAAATGTCTGAGATTTACAGAGTAATGTGATTATTCTTACCCAAGAACCAGCCCCTTAAGTTTGATCAGTTTTGCTTTTCAGACCTATTAACATGAGCTGAGAACGTAAGACTCACGACATGAGATTGGCTTTCTTACAGCCACTGTCTATCTTGCACTGTCTATCTTGCTCTGTAAACTATGTGAGTAAAGATAATGTTTCTCTAGCCACTCAGTATGACTGGCACGTAGCTGCAGTTTTGCTCACAATAAGATTAGCAGTCATTGAAATCGCTTGATATTTGCTGTTAGTGCTGTATTTCCCTAGGAAAACCAAATATATTAACTAGTTCTTGAGAGAACCAGCATCTAGACACTCAATAGTGAGCTGAAAGGATCCTAGGTAAAAATTCTGAAAAGCTCCTAAGGAGCCTAAGTCTCATTTTCAAACATGATGTAAGCACTTAGGAGCCTCAGTTTCCTTGTAAGTCAAGCGCTTAAGTCACTTGAAAATGTGACTTAGGCATCAAAGCTTTTGACAATCTTACCTGAAAAATGTCAGGAGGTTAGTGACTTGGACCAGCGCAAGTAAGGCGTGACTCCTGGAAGCCTGGACGCTTTCTACACTCTTTAACTCATCACAAAGCTAGTACCAATGAGACATACCTATTCCCTTTTTCTGAGAACTCGGTACATCCAATATTACAGTAAACTATAGACTCATCATATCTAAAGATATCAGATCTGCCTCTTTGCTCACTTAAACTGGTGCAAATCACAATCACCTCTGCTGCGTCTCTGTCGTTACACTGGTGTTAAACTGGCATAAGGGAAAGGTGAATTATCCCATTGGTTGGCTTGACTGGTATATTTTATTGGTTCTGCTTCCACTTTTGACATTATTTGGGTAAGATGCCTAGGTAGGTTAATTATGTTTTAGCACTTTGGTTAAGGTGCTTAGAGGCCCTTGGGCATTGACATAAAAGAAATTAAAATATATTAGACAATGGTCTTGTGATTCAATTAAAGCCTGGCAGAATATATTGTATGATCATCAGCTCTTTAAACTCAAAGACTCTGTTTCCTGCCTGGATTAGGCGAGGGTGCTCTGAGATCCAGATGGAGCTGATCTCAAGGGGCTAGCGCAATACAATAAAGCAGGGATTTGTGGCATAGAAACAATTGCATGCCCGCATAAAGAGGTAAACATATCTTCTTGCTCTTCTATCCCCTACTTGCTTCAGACCACACTCTGTGTGTTGCAGCTGGTCTTTCCAGTGCTTGCTTTAAGTGGAGTCTGAGCTGTGTAACACTAATAGTCACATGCCACTTGAAATACCTGACATATAAAAATGCAATAGTGTGGAAATCAGGAATCAAAACCAGCTTGGAGTGATTGAAAATCATGAGCGAGTATGGATTTAGGCAGCTACGTCTTTGCCCTGCCTCTGTCCCCAGAGTGGCACAGGTTAGATTTGTAATAATTTTCACGGGGTTGTATGAAGGCCCATTGACCAGACCTTGTGTGACCCTCACTTCACTAGGCAAGTAAATTTTGAGACACACACCATGACTGTGACATTTTGGAAATATTATTAATGCTTATTCAGTGACTAGCACAATGGTGCAAAATGTGCTATGTGCTGCAGACACATGTAGGAAGACACAGTCACTGTTCCAAAGAGTTAAAACCAAAAACGTGATCCTGGTGTTGGACGGAGCGTTCTACATCAGCTTTGTAAAACTGCCATCAGTTTTTGCTGGCACACGCACCCTCTGTTGACATGATTGTGATAATTGCCAGAAATGCTTCACCCCCATTTCTGTAACAAATGTCGTGATCCACAGCAGGTAAATATTTTGCAGGTCTCGTCTTCATTTGCTGTCTGAGTCAGCTCTCATTGAAATTAATATTAAAACTCCCATTAGCCTCAATTATGCAGCTTCAGGCCCTTCATCAGCGTGTATATCTACTACAGAATAGTCCTTTGTATTCTACCAGTGGTAATTAAGTACTTAGGAGTTGTAAAGCAAAGCAATATACATTTGAAAGCCTGAGGATTTTTAAGTGGTTAGAGCCACCTGCAGAAAACCTCTTGGCACAGACTCTGCTGGGACCTGTGTTTGTTTGCTAATTAGTAACTGAACTAATTCTACCGAAAGATAATCAACAGCTTTACATAAAACATTTGCTATTTTCCCAGGCCCTCAACACTACAACAGATGTGCCCATGAGTGCCATATTACAGCTAAGGCTACGTTTTAGTCACGTATATTTCTAGTAAAAGTCATGGACAGGTCAGGGCGGGGCAGTAAACAAAAATTCATGGCCCGTGACCTGTCCATGACTTGTACTATATACCCCTGACTAAAACTTGGGCCAAGCCACGGGTGCTGTGGGGGGCCGGTTCAAGGGTGCTGTGCGGGGGGGGGGGGGGTGGCCCAGGACTCCGGCTGATGCTGGGGGAGGACCAGGCGGTGGCAAGCGGCCCGGGACCCCAACTGGTGCTGTGGGGGAGGAGGGAGGTGGCAGTGTGCGGCCCAGAACTTCTGATGGCGCTGGGGGTGGGGAAGTTTGGCGTGGCTGGCAGGCTCCCTATTGGGCTGTGCGCAGCTCCCTGGAAGCAGTCAACATGTCCCTGAAGCTCCTAGGGGGAGGGAAGTCCAGGGGGAACTCCACGTGCTGCCCCCACCACGAGCTCAAGCTCTGGCTCCGCAGATCCGAGAACCACAGCCAAAGGGAGCTGCAGTGGCAGGGCCTCCAGGCAGGGGCAGTGCGCAGAGCCCCCAGGCTTCTCTGCCTAGGAGCTGCAGGGATGTGCCGGCCACTTTCAGGGAGACCGTCCCCTCCAAGGTAAGCGCCACCCCGCACCCCAACTCCTAGCCCCCTCCCACACCCAAACTTCCCCAAAAGCAGCCAGTGCGACTGGCCCAGCGGCTGCGGATCAGGCAGCCCCAGAGCCAGCGCACCGGCCGCTGCAGAAGTCACGGAGGTCACGGAAAGTCACGGAATCCATGACTTCTGTGACCTCCGTGACAGACACAGAGCCTTAATTAGAGCAAGTTCACAGCAGAACCAGAGATTCTGAGATAAAATAACACTTTTCTCCTAATTGCCGGTTTATCAGTGTTTTTATATTACCTTTAAATGTATCCTGCTTTAGTCACAAAGCTCGGTTGTCTTTCATGTTTTTTTAAAAGAGTAATAAAAAGCATATCACAGTGTCTTCAGCGTGTGGGTTTACTCTTAATATACAGTACTGTGCAATCCTGGAGTCAGAGTATCCCCCCACAGAGCACAGGTAACACTGACCTCAAAGGGAGTTATTTGTACCATGTCAGGGAAGCAGTCAGACCTGATGCTGCTAACAAGAATAGTGCCTACTATCGTGGAACTCAGTAGGATAGTATTAATGGCTGCAAGCACTAGGCCCAGACTCCTAATAATGCCCAATGCAGATGCTGACGTAGATCATTGCTTGAATACTGGAGAGGAAAATCTGGTTGTTACAGCAACATTTTGTGACCTAATACAATTTCACAACTCAGGAAATCTTTTATTTTTTTAAACTAACATGCACAAAAAGATGGTGGCTGACAGAAGACCATTTAGCAATAATTACCACCTCAAAAAGTTATCCAGTATTCTATAAAGCTAATCAGAGCATTAAAAATAATTACACAATATTTTCACAAAACAACATTTGACACATACTTGCCATTCAGTATTGAATGATAAGGCATAGATGGAAAATAATCAAACAGAAAGATAAAGAGGAGTTTAGGGTCTGATTCTCCTGGCACAGTATTGCCTTCAATGAAGTTTCTCTTGAGAATCAAGTCCACTGAATTTCATAACCATCCCAAGACCCCAGAACATTGCAAGTTACAGCAAACAGTGACAATGTCTATTCCTCATCTCAAATACTATCTAGCTCCTTCTGACGTCAACAGAGAACAGGTCAATGAATGATTATAGCAGAAATGAAAATGTATGTTCTTAACTCCACACAAAGCTAAGTTCTCCCCCACTCTTTATTCCTTAATTCCTTCCTTCGGATTTTCCCAGAGATTGTCTTTGGTAGCTGTTGAACAAATTCCACCTAATTTATAAAAAAAATACAAATAATAATGAAAAATAGCAAATTAAATGTGATTTGGTGCTGTCTTGCTTTCTGGAACAAAACATCTATTATAAAGGTTAGGGATTCCTTCAAGATAAACCATGGAGAAAGTCCACCAGCATTCATAAAAGAACAAGCTCCTTGCTAGGGTAATGGAACCAGCCAGTTGCTCACACAGTAATTCCTCAACTTTTCCAGGAACAGTCCTGCTCCACTGAAACCTAGAGGAATTTTGCCATTAACTTCAATGGGAGCAGGACTGGACCTGTAATCCACTGATGTGAGGTTTCTTTTTCAGAGCACAAACTAATAGAATATATGAGAGAGATGTTTCACAGTTACAGCCCTGATCCTGCAATGGGATTTGACAGTACAGACTTTTCCGTCCACTAGGACTTCAATCAAGTACTCCTTTTCTTTTTGCGAATACAGACTAACACGGCTGCTACTCTGAAATAGGACTTCAATGAGACTCTGCCCTGCCTTCAGTGGGTGTCAATACAGCTATAATAGCTAAACAAAATGCTACTGACAAACCACCCAATATTGGAGTACCCACTCAAACACCAAATGGAAATGTAAAGCCCTTCAGTTATAAACTATGAGTTTGATGCACTGCTGTTCAGTTTTATGCAGGTCTAGCAGCTGATATCAATGTAATGATACCAGTGTAAACTGAAGTAATACAGTAGTGAATCAGGCCCAGTGTTTGGACTAAGAGACCTCTGAACAGTGGGTGGAAGCATTTTATACATACCAAGTTTAGTATTAAAGTTTTTATAGGTAAACTAGAGATAAGAACCAAATTCCACTGACACCAGCCTAGAGACACTGATGGTAGATTCTGGTTCTTATCTTTAGCTTACCTATAAAAACCTTAATACTAAGCTTGATGTGTATAAATTCTGCATACATCAATAATGATCAATATGATACAATCCCTTTGTGACTCTCCACCACCCACCCAGCATAATCCCTAAGCCTGATCCTCAGCTGGTGGGCCTGGCCAGTTATGTACAGTATTAGAGCCCTTTTGTTCTTCTACCACACGGAGCATCTTCTTTTCTCTATTATATTACTGAAAATTCCTGAAAATGGTATTTTAAATTTCATTATATATTGTGAAATTATATTTAATCTGTAAAATCTGATTAATTTTAGTTTCATATATAAATATGATTAAATGATGAATGCAGCTCATCTTTCTCCCATGAATAGTTCCACTGAAATCTGAGAAAGATTTGTCTCTACTATTCCAAAATAAAACACCTAACAGGCCAGATCCCCACCTGGTGTAAATAGCATAATTCCATAGTCTTCAACAGAGCTACACTGATTTACGTCAGCTAAAGAGCTGGTTGTATGTTTCAAAATTACATTGAAGGCCTGACTAAAAGGTGGTGGGGGTAACAGAAGAAAAACAGAGGAAAATATTTGTTTACTAAGGAGTAAAATCTGTTTATATTTCTAATCTGATCTCTAGTTTTGATCAGAACAGTTTTAATTTTGGGGTGCATTGTCAGGAATTACCCTTACATTCAGCACTTGGAGGTACTTGCCTTTCTGGGATACTTGTATGGTGCAGTAACTTTTTTGACATGCTCTTGCAGCTCCTTAGTTAATTTTTCTGGATCATGTGATACAAAGTCAGGAGACAGAATAACAAAGGCTTTCACCACCTGCAAGACACAGTGAGATGTAGGCATCTTCTAATATTCAATCACATTTACAATGATCAAACTGAAAAATACAATTTGCAACATTAAAATTGCTTTCAAGAGAGGAGAGTAAGATTATGGGCCAGATGCTGGCATACACTAAGGCTCTTTTTGCCATTCAGGGCCTTAAAACTGCCCCAAGTAGGCATCTGAGGATTCACCCAGTGTGTGGGAATCCTCAAACAGCATACAGTCAGCTATGCCAGCTCTTCACCACCTCCTCTTAACACGCAGCACAGGAGCTGGAGGTGGAGGTAGGAGGGATGTGGCTTGAGCACACTGTTCTTCAATGCTTCCTGGCTAGCACAACAGCTCTAGGGCACTGTTTCAAGTTAGTGGAACTTAGAGCTGCCCTGTGGTTGCTTTTAGTTGTGCTGCAGACAAAGCAGCCTGCTGCATACCTGAGGATTGAGCCGTATCTGTATATAAGTATATGCCTAAGGGCCTGTTTTGCAAAATATCCCATTCAAGTCAGTGGGTCTGCTCTCAGTTGCACCTGTGGAACCCAGGGGATTCACTGAAGTCACTGTGATTGCTTGGTTGTATGTGGGAGTAGAATTAATCAATTTATTTTTAAACAGCAAAACAAATAAAATAAGAGTAGTCAGTTTGCCCTACTACCAAGAGTCAGATTTTCAAAGCACCTAACCTGTGTAGGTACCTGACTCCCTTTGAAATCAATGGGAGTTAGGTACCTAGCTTGTTTAGGCACTTTGAAAATTCAACTAGGCATCTCTCTGCATTTTTAAGTGGTTAAATACATTTGAAAATCTGGCCTTTAGCATTCCTAAATTTCCTTGACAGCTATAGTTTATTTCTAAACAAGTATATACAGTAGGTGTTTTTGCATACCCACTAATATCAACCTCATTACCTCTCCTCTGATGGGATCTGGGCTGCTGACAACAGCTGCTTCTGTTACTGCCGGGTGCTCTATCAAGGCATTTTCTACTTCAAATGGTCCAATACGATACCTAGGAGAGGAAATAAGAGCTTGGTATTTACAAACTGTATCAATGTATGGCAACTTAGTATGGAAACCCCATAAAAACAAACTTACCCAGAAGATAAAATGATGTCATCAGCTCTTCCAACAAACCAGAAGTATCCATCTTCATCCACAATGCCCCTGTCTCCTGTGATATAAAAATCCCCACGTTCTGATGCAGCAGTTTTCTCTGGATCACCCTGACAACAACAAAGGAACATCTCACAAATGGTAATGAACCCTTAGGATCCAATCCAACTCCCACTGAAGTCAATGGAAAAAATCCCAATGGACTTCAATGGGAGATAGATCAGGACCTCAGTGGTGTTCAACCACAAATTGTTACTTAACAGAAGAAGGCCATAGTTACTCAGTCAGGAAAATTTTCATGAGAACTCACTTATCTTTATACAAGATGATTTTTTAAAACTTTCAAAACTTTTCATAACTGTTCTTATTTTGAACTCTTTCAGCCTTGCTGTAGCCCATACAAGTCTAGCATGATCTGATCTACTATGAATACATTCTGTGTTTCTGAGGTCAAGTGACTTTGTATTAGAGCTGTGCGAATGATTACACTTGAGCTGCAGGAGTACTGGCACTCAGCCCTAACATGTGTCTAAACTGGCTGTGAACCAGCAGTGATTTGTCTTTGCCATATGCCAACAGAAGCATTTTGCAAACTTCTTTTTGTTCCAGCTAGGTGTCCACAGGCTTTTCCAGGCTCTTGTTTGTAGTCTCTTTCCATTTCAAGCCTGGTTCACTGGGACAGGCTACATGAGGCAAGTCAGAAGGCAGAAGTCATGTATGCAAGAAAGTCAGTTAAACACAACTGGCATATATCTTTACATATTACCTACCCTTTTAGCCAGCTTTTGCAGGTGCAAAAGGGCCATGTATATTTTTGTGGGCACTCCCACCATCTGCTCCTTTGAAAAGTTAGCCCTTAAATCCACCTTAATTAATAGCATGATTAGAAAATCAAGTTGGAAGACTGGGGTGGCGGAGGAGACAAAAAAAGAGAGAACTGAGTTCTTCATTAAATCTACCTCCTTGCAACGAACCATTAAAAACATTGAACTCTGGGCCACACTCGGTTTTACTGACACTTTCAAGGGCTAGCCTGCCCTCCCACCCAAGGATATGCACCGGAGGAAGGGCAGACAGTAGTCCTACTGTGTGACCTCCCCTAGGATATCTCATGGGGGGAGGGAGTATTTAAAATCTGCCAGGTTTTCCATAGGAGCCCGATCAGCTGAAGCGGATCAATGCATCCCTGGCCATAGTCACTTGCTTCTTAGGGTATGGCTAGAATGCAGTCACTGAATTTGACTACAGCTTGAGCCAACATACCAAAGCTAGCTTTAATCTAGTTAGCTCAGGTGGAAGAGTGAAGCTGTGGCAGGGCATCAGGGCACCAGGCTAGACTCTCAAGTACTTACTGAGGGTTTCAGACAGGTTTGTACAACCTGTGCTGAAGCTCATGCTGCCCTGACTTCACTGCTCTGGGACCCGAGATAGCTATATTAAAGCTAGCTCAGGTATGAATACTTGGGCTACAATCACACTGTATGATTGCTGTGTAGACATATCCTTAGTCCCCCAGTGGAGGGAATATTGCAGGTGCTTTCTGTCTCAACCTCCCCCACCAGTACACTTTCTGCCTCTGGTTGCACCAGTGGAAGTCCTGTTTATGAGACACATGAACTATTGTCTTTGGAAGTATACAGACACCCACAACAAGATACTTTAAAAAGTTATCAGTATATTTAAGATGTGGCCTCAAAATCTGATTAATTTCATACAAAGTTTCCTTACCATGTAGCCAGAGAAAAGACAAAATGGCCTTGTTGGTTTGATTCTGATAGCAATATCTCCTTCTTTCCCAGGAGGCAGAATATTAGCATTTTCATCTATTATCTAGAATGAGAGAAAACCCCTCCTGGATGATTTAATGTCTTTCTGTTAAACAGAGAGTTGTACTGAATTAAATGTTCAGAGAGAATCTTGTGTTGTGTGGGAACATTATCTTACTTCAGATTGAAAGTGACCAGGAGTGTCAAAATACCTGCACATCATAAGGTGGAGCTGCCTTTCCCATAGCACCAGGTTTAATTTTCATCCCTTTGAAAACTGCACATATCAAAACCTGTAAAATAAAATTGTATTTGTGCAACAAAATACAGTACTTGATGTTTTATTTAGATATGAATATTTGTAACTGAAAACGTTTTGCATTATCTATTTTACTAGTAACATTTTTGTAAAAATGTTCATTTGAAAAGTGACTCAATTGTGATTTTAAACACAATAGGCCTGATCTTCAGTTGGTGTAAATCAACATTGCTCCAAAGAAGTCAATGGAGTTACCCTGACTTATATCAACTGAAGATCTGGCTCAGTGGGATAAAGTCCGCTCTCAACTATACTCGTGAAAATATCCAGATTAAATTCCTTGGAACTCAACCGCCTCTCATTTGCATTTGTTTTACACCAGTTTAACTCCATTTATTACAAAGAAGTATGTCTGTGTGAGAGAAGCAGAGGTGAAAGTAAGCCGGTCCGGTCCGGCGTACCGGCAAGAGCCAGAACACCGTGCAGGACCGGACCGAACTGGACCAGCTTCCCCAGGCTGGCGATTTAAAGAGCCAGGGGCTCCCTGGAGTAGCCGGCTCCCTGCAGCAGCAGCGGTAGCGACGGCAGGGCTCCAGCGGTGATTTAAAGGGCCCAGGTATTTAAAGGCCCCGCCTCTTCTGGTTGAGGCCACACCTCTTCCAGTTGAGACCACGCCTCCTGCTCAGGACTCCGGCATACCGGTAAGTCCTTTAAGTTACTTTCACCCCTGGAGAGAAGTATACATTAACTTCAAAGAAATATCAGCCTGAGAGAAGAATTTGGCCCAGCAGCTGATATTTACTATTGGCTACATTATAATGATTGTCAGCACGTACAGTTGGAGACTTTATTCCTGTATGTCCAAATTACCTAGAACAGATTTTTCCTACAAGCGTGCTGGTGATTCTACAAGTTTGGACATATGGGGCTTAGGCGTTCTCTTGCTTAAACCTGTGTAGATCTGAAGTGACTCCACTGATATCAACAAAAAAACCTGCTATGAAGTCAGAATTAGGTCCTTGGAATTTCCCGCTGGTTGTTCCATTAGGAAGATAGGGTTGTCTGCCACAGAGAACTGACTGGGGCTCATCCCTAGAAACTCATGGATCTCTGAATACACACCTAAAGCCAGGACTATCAGTGCAGAGGCTATGTGCCTCTGGCTCATTGCATCCCCACCTGTGGAGTGGGATTCACTGTGAGGTGAGGGAAGAAGCATAACACTGTCAGGATCAGCATTTATTTACACCTGAAACCCCCCAGAGTTGAGAGGGAAAGATGTCACACAAAATGATTATCTCCCAGACCTGACCTGGCTTGTTCCCTCCCAGCTGAGTTTGCACAGAGTTGGAGGAAGAAGGGAATGTTGCTGTGTAGCAAGTATGCCCTCCTTACTGCCCCCTCCCTCCAGCCAGGTTGGCCCCTTTGGGTCCCCTGCGCACATATTTAATGAGTTAATTGCATAGCTAATGGCCCCTTTTAAAATCTGCCGCTGAGATGCTTGGCTGAAGGAATGCATGCTGCCTAATTAAATTTCTAGGTCAAAATGTTCAAACTTAGACACCTAAATCTATGTTTAGGCTCCTGAATAAACAAAGCCTGATTTTCAAAGATGCTGAGAACCCAAAACTCCAAATGAAGCCACTGGGGCTGCAGGTGCTCAGCACCTTTGAAAATCAGACACTTTTTATTCAGGGGCCTACATATGGATTTAGTAGCCTGATGTTAGTTACCTATATTTGAAAATGTGGGGCCTGTTTTCCTGGATAAAGCAAGAAACGTACCATATGAATTTGACAGTTTTCCTCATTAGCTTGAGTTAGAATTAGGCTTATTAGGTGTGTGATTGAATGCAAACGTACTGTTTCAGTTTGGCCATATCCTTCATAGATATCGATCCCTGTTTTGCTTTTCCATCTCTCCATCACTTCAGGGTTGAGTGGCTCACCCCCACTTAGGCAGTGCTTCAGGCTCTTGAACTTGTAGCTTAATAAGTGTTTAAAACAATGGTTAGGAGCATTACTAGAGAGACTTTGATATGGTTCAGTTCTGGGCTTCATTTGCTGTAGCTGTAACTGGTAAAGAACTTACAGAGTGAGTTCACCTAGAATTTCAACCTCTGAAATGGTTACGTTGTTAGACTAAAACCTGGCAAAGCAAAAATCTAGGGCTGTGATTCTGCTAGAACACAGTTCAGTTGGGATGGTTAGTAAGCAATCTAGATGTACCTGGTAAGATCATGCTGCACCAGCATGCGATAAGCAGTTGGTGTACCACAGAAAGAAGTTATAGGAAATCTGGATAGACACTATGAATGAAAGAAAAGAAAAGTTATTTACACTGTTCGTTCCTTGGGGGCAGGCACTGTCTTTTGGTTGTTTGTACAGTGCCAAACACATTTGGGCTCTGGTCTATGATTTGGGCCCTAGGCACCATCACAATACGAACAAATAAATAATAAAGTGAATGCACTATACTAAAAAGGCAGAGGGCTAGAATGATGTGTTGGGCTAGGTCTGGCATGGCTATTAAGAGTTCTTGTTCCTTTCTTTTTTATATTTATTTGAAAGTTAACTTGCTTATGTTTTGGAGTTTAGCATTTTCCTCCAACAGTGACACAAATTCGACCCCACAGTGATAGGCACAAGTGAAGAGAAAGTAATAATAATACTTAACACTTCTATAGCACTTTCTACTCAGAGATCTCAATACACTTTACAAAAGAGGGTAAGATTTTATTATCGTCACTTTGCAGATGGGGAAACTATGGGATAGGAAGATGATGTGACTTGCCTGAGGTCACCTAGAAGCTCAGTAATAGTGCTGAAAGCAGAACTATGTTTCCTGACTCTCAGTGTAGAGAACTGGGAAACAGTTGTATTACTTTTTGTGAATATGGTGTATGCTTTTGTGTGTTTGTTTATGATGGGTGACTTGCTACTGAGTTGTATCAAAAGGGCTTGTTAGAAGGACCAAGCAGTGAATGCAAAACAAATGGCACAGATCAGAGCCCTTAAGAAAACATCAGAAAAGCTTTAGTTAGAGAATACCCCAATACCCAGCTCCACCCAGACTAGAATGGTTTACTATTCCCAAGGCTAAGCCTAGGATCAAAGGAGGAAAAAGGAGTGGGTTTGAGTGAGTTGAGAGAGTCTGCCCAGGGCTGTCAGTGAGAGATGACAGGCAAGTAAAGAAAGAGAGAGAGAGAGAGAGACTATGTGTCATGGTCTGCAGCAAGCAGGCTGTAACTTGGTCCCCCAGAGAATTGGGGTCACCAACATAAGTCATGTCTACTAGGAGTTTGATGGGAATGCCAAGTGTAGGTAAGACAGTACCTACTGTTGTTTTAAATCAATTTTTCTGAGTGCTGTGCACCTTTTGATAGATACGTTATACTATGTATTGAAGAAGCTGCTTCTTCATACTATTACCACCCCAGGCTCCTGAAGAGAAACTCGTGCAGGTGCCAAGTCTGTTGGGCCTGCTAGGTATCACTATTGACAACCAGGGGGGATGTAACCCAGAGACCAAGTGGAGACTAGTTGGATTGTGGGGTCCCACCACAAAGAGAAGTGGAGGCACAGGCCTGTCACTTGAAAAGGGTGCACTTGGGCAAAACAAAGTCTCAAAAGAGGCAGCCTACCGGGGGATGACACTTACTACTAGACAACATTATCATAGTCTCATGATTTTTATGATATTTTAAAGTTACTCCTGATACTATCCTTTTTCACCATCTGCTTTGCATATATCAGTTATGGCTTAAACCACATCATGATGTTTTTATTCTTACATTCAGGACAGTTGTTGCCTCAAACTGCAGCATGCTGTGTGTAAAGATACACGCTCCATGAATCCATGTAGAAAAGAGACTGCCATAGGCAAATTTTACCCAGCCTGGGTCAGACAGGCCCCACAGTATGTCAGAGGGATTCAAATCAAACCAAAGCCTGGTAAAAATGCCAAAAAAAATATCGTAATGAAAAACACTGAATAGAAAAATAAAGTGAATGTACAAATGGAGAGCGGATGGAATTATTTGTTGTGAATGAACATGGCTCTTTTTTCTGTTCATGAACTAATCCTGATGCCTATGAGTGGATTCATTAGTCACAGTTGAACTGTGAGTAGTTGAATGCTAACATCCCTGTGAGATGTTTGCCTACTGTTCATATAATCTCTTCATTATTCTTTATACTTGTGTGATTGCTCACCTAAGTCACATGGTTTTGTTTCAGCTTCTTGATGGGAGAACAGATATTTCTTATTTTCCTGTTTAAAAAGTAACTAGACATATTAAATAGTGAATAACTAGGGCTAGTCGAAATTTTTTGAATGAAATATTTCCCATGAGAAGAAGGAGTTTCATCAAAATAAAAATTTTCTGTAGGGATAGATTTTGGCAGAATTTATTTGGCTGAATTTTTCATCAGGAAAACAAAATTAAATATTTTTATTTAGGAGTCCCATGATACGTTGCAGCACGTCAACTACAGGAAGGGGCTGTGGTGCATCATGGAAGATGTAGTCCATCCATCCAGGGAAGAATGGGGACATGAGAGACCTGAAACTACAATTCCCATGTGGCACTCTGGTGTTGAAGGCAGATGGAGAGATTAATGTAATCCAAGATTAAATATGTTGATTTGGGAATGCTGAAACATTTTTTTCAATTGAAAATGTGAAAAAATGAAACATTGAGAAATTGCCAAATCAAATTATTTTGGAACTTTGTCCCACAAAAAGTTTAGATATTTTGACTGTTCATCCAGTTCAGGAGGAAAACAAATGTCAAGATATCAGAATTTCCCACAGGACAGAAATTCTGTGGTTTGATCATCTGTACACATAATCCATTCCTGGTATGAATTTTCAGACAAATAATCATATATTCAGTATTTTTTACATATTCATTTTGTGACCATGGTTTATCAGAGCAATGAAGTATTTTCAGTACATACCTTCCAGTCGAGGTCATTCCAATACCAAAACTACTGTGAGAATGTTCCACCATTTTGGGGTAACCTGTGGTTCCACTGGTAAAGTAGATAGTCATTGCTTCTTGACTCTTTGTCTTAACAGTGTCATGATCACCACGTGCAGCTCTTCAAAATAAAGACAAGAGTACATCAGAGTGGATAAGCTATTCAACAAAGGAAACTTCAATCGCTATCTAGTTTACAACTTTAGTGAGGGATTTCTTTTGTCTTCCCAAATTAAACTGCCTATGATCTCATTCTTAATGGTCATTGGCCAGTAAGATTTATTAGGCCAAATTCTGGCCTTGGAAACGCACACAAAACTCTCTTTGCATTCAATGGGAGCTAAGGGCCTGATCCAGTGCTCACTGAAATCAATGGAAAGACTTCTGTTGACTTCAGTGGCCCTATGTGTGTATCTGAAGCTAGAGTTCAGCACACTTTTTCAGCAGAATGACCCTGTTCTGTTGTTATTAATGCTTCTCCCTCACCCTCTATATATTTAAAGCCATATGTATTTGCAGATCTCCGCTCCCATCCCTGTTAGTTTTTTATACTTGTATTTAATTTAGTGTTGGAATGCAGACTTGTTAGGTAAATGAGGGAAGAGCTTGCTCCCAAAAACCACATAGAATGTATGAGTTATCTGAGTTCTGAAACTGCTTTTTAAACAAGGAGGGGTACAATACAAAGCTGGAAACACCTGAATTTCCATTTGGATGATTAGCTCACTGAGGCAAGACACACTCACTTGAGTAGTTCCTTGAAGTCCAGCCATCCATCCCTGCTGCCTTCGGATACCATTAGCCTGGTTTTTAGAAACTGGCACTTGGACACAACTGAGTCCACTGCAGGTGCCAGTATATCATTGGTAATGATGCATTTGGCCTTAGAAGCCTGGAGTCTATAGAGAATGTCATTAGCTGTCAGCTGGATTGTTGCTGGAATATAGATAATTCCTAGAGGTGCAACAAATGGAAGTTTAAAGGTAGAGGAACATTTTAAACTACTTGGGCAAGATTCTAGTCAGTGTAAGTTCATTGGATTCAACAGAACTGTGCCAATTTACATTAGCTGGACATCTGGCCCCTTGTACTTATCTTTCTGTGCTATGCCTTGTGATGCTGTTATCTACCTTAGCCTTTGAGAATTAATTCCCACGCAACTGCCTCTTCAGACTTCAGACACAGTGGTTGCCTGTGACCAGGAGTATAGTTAGGCTACATGAGACTGAAGTAGAGCATCATTGTGAATCAGAAACCCCAACCCAACACTTCACCCTAAGTTCTTCCTTTAGTATATTTGCAGAAGAATCTTCTGGGAGATAACATTATTTTGCTGCCAATACTAAGGCCACACTGTCTGGGGGATGCCCCCTCCTATGGCTCACAAGTCACTTAAACTATGTGCCTCAGCTTTCTTCTTTGTAAAATGGGCTCTTTTATACTAATATTTTGTCATGAATTTCTTTAAAAAATATACAATCAATACAATATTTAAATGTCAAAACATATTTTATGCAAAATGGCTAAATATACTACTTCTCTGAAATATTATTTCCTGATAAAAATACTGAGTTTGGAAATTGTTTGAATGCTTTAACTGATGTCCGTGATTGACCCTGATCCTGAAAGCACTTAAACCGTGCTTATCTTTAAGCACACGAGTAGTCCCATTGATTTCACTGAGACTGACTAAGAAAGTGTGTAAATGTTTGCAGGATTAGTCAGGGGCTAAGGCAGAGATTCAGGAAAGCTCTTAAGCAGAGCTGTGTGAGTAATGGATTTTTCAGTTTGCTGGGAATTTGAAAAACTGAAAAAAAAATTATTTAGGATCAAACTAAAACTAAACATTTTCAAAGGTTTCAGTAAATCATAAAGATAAGAAAAAATTACTTCACGTCAAATGAAACATTTAAATCAATTCAAAACAAAACTCTTGTTTTGATTTGAAGCATTTTTTGTTTTTAATTTAAAAAAATTGAAGGAAATTTCTAAACAAAGAGTCATTTCAAAAAGAAAAGTCAAGGAGATGATCTAGGTTCAATTCCCAGCTCTTCCAGAAACTCCTAGTGTGACCCTGGACAAGTAACTTAATCTCTTTGTGCCTTAGATCCCTATCTGTAAAATGGAAATAACAACACTTCCTTTAGAGTGACAAGGTAGGTGAGATAGTATCTTGTATTGGACCAACTTCTGTTAGAAAAAGGGACAAGCTTTTGAGCTTACAGAGAGCTCTTCTTCAGCTACAGGTAAACTTGAAAGCTTGTCTCTCTCACCAGCAGAAGATGGTTCAATAAAATATATTATTTCACTGCGATGGTCTATACTATTATGTTCATCACTTTTACAAGACTGTGATAAATTTTGTACAAAGTATGCCTTGTGAGGTATAATTTGAAATGTCATAATCTGCTGAACATTATTGTCCTGGTAAAATATGTATATCAACATTGTATATAAAGTTATGAGTATACCATATAGCATTGCTGTAACATGCTCCAGAGTCAGAAAAGCAGGCTGAAACCAGTTTTTCAGAGACAAAGACAGACCGGCACCTCAGCCAGGTATCAAGAAAGTCAGGGCTTGTCTATACTACCCGCCGGATCAGCGGGCAGCGATCGATCTAGTGGGGGGTCAATTTATCATGTCTAGTCTAGACACAATAAATCGACCGCCAAGCACTCTCCCATCAACTCCGGTACTTCACCGGAGCGAGAGGTATAGGCAGAGTCGACGGCGGAGCGTCAGCTGTCGACTCACCGCAGTGAAGACACCATGGTGAGTAGATCTAAGTAAGTCGACTTCAGCTATGTTATTTACGTAGCTGAAGTTGAATAACTTAGATCGATCCCCCCCAGTGTAGACCAGGCATGAGTTAAGTGATTATTCTTTGACAGGAACAAGAGTGTGAGTGAGAACTTTACATATTGGCAATCAAAACGGCTGGAGTTTCCATGTAAACAGACTGGCTGTTGCCTGAACCCCCGCTGGAGATAATCCTCAAAGAGGGGAGAAAGGTATAAGAATGGAGGACACCCACAATACAAATCACCTCTCTCTACCCCCATCTCTACTCACAGCAGCTACAATGCTCAAAAGACAAAGAAAGCATTATTGACCTGGGGGAAGGGTGGAAGGGGGCTTATCAGCCAGTAAAGACTGCTGTAAACATATGGTGAGACAAAACCTTTTTGCTTTTAAGTTCACTTAGCTTGTTAAGTGAGGTATTAGCTTGTGTTTTACTCCTTTATTTCTTTTGTAACCAATCCTGACTTTTATGCATCATCACTTGTAATCACTTAAAATCTATCTTTCTGTAGTTAATGAACTTATCTTCTTGTTTTATTTTAACTGTGTGCTTGGATTAAAGTGTGTGGGAAACTCCATTTGGGATAACAAAGATGGTGCATATTATTTTCCACTGATGAAATGACAGACTTCATATGAGCTTGCATTGTTCAGTTTGGTACTGAGCAGTACAAGACGCACATTTCTGGGGGACAAGGCTGGGACTGGGAATTTGTGGATGTTTTCTGTATTTAATTCATGAGTGGCTGGCCAGAGCATTTATGTAACTTAGCTGGGAGTGATTTTACATGAACATGAACAGGCCAGAAAAAAGCAAAGCAGTGTAAAAAAAACCCCAGGCTAGAGAATTTAGGGGACACAGTGGTTCAACAGTCCAGACTGTACCCTGTCACATTCACCCACCTTGTCTCTCTGATATCCTGGGACCAACCTGGCTACAACACTGCAATATTTCCTTTGTCCATCTTTTCTACTCAGACACTGATCCATCAAAAACTTACTCACATGCTCAACTTTACACACTCTAAGCATTCCCTTTGGCTTCAATGGGACAGGTCACAGTGTGCAAAGTTAAGCGCATAAATCTTTAAAGTACTGGGGCCTTAGACTAATCTCCTCAGGACAGGGACTGTTTCTTGCTCTGTTGGTACAGTGCCTAGTTTAATGGGGCCTGCAGTTCAGTTGGGGTCTATAAGTATTACTGAAATACAAATAAATTCAGTCATTTATTATTCTTGGTACTGACCTGTTCTCATGCAGCCCACTGTTATCAACCACCATTCTGGTATCCGGGGTAGCATCACTATAACTCTGTCTTCCTTTTTCAGACCACATGCATCAGAGAGTACATTGGCTGCTTTCCTGGATAGAAATCCCAGCTCCTCAAAACCCCACCTTACCTCGTTGCCTTGATCACCTACCCACCAGAGGGCTGGGATGGAGGAGGCTCTCTCTCCATTCTGGCAAAGACAAGAAAGTAGGAAAATGTATAAATAATGCAACAATCAGGAGGAGACCCAATGCTTCAAACACACAATTGTTTAACTTCAAGCAGAAGTGCAGTCTCTTTGACTTCAGCAGGACTAACCCTTTGGTTAAAGGTAAGTATGTGTGTAAGTATTTATAGACTTGTGGGCTTATATCCGAAATCTAATATGTGCTTGTTAATCAAGTACAATGGAGAATTTGCGTCTCTTCTTCTGAGCTGCCCAAGCTATGCATAACAATGCCTTGTTACCGTATGAAATGTACAGGTTTAGGCCAGCCTCTGGGAAGGTTTATCTCTGGACATGTTTTGCCATAGATTACAATCATCGTTATGGGAAAAGAACTGTTGAGCTCTTTCCGTTATTAGTATAACTCCAAGTGTACAAGGTCCTTATTCTGCTTCCTTTAAACATGGCCCAGAACACATAATGAAGAAGAAGATGATTGTTATTTCTATTACAGTAGTACTTAGAACTACTGTACTCAGCATAGCAGTGGGATGAGCCCATAGTTCTCTTACTGGTAAACAAGAAATGATCATCATATAAAATTGCATGTCATACACTGAGAAGTTAATGAGGAATATAACCATTCTTTAAACAGACCATTACAAGTAACATACATAGGTGAAAATGTACAGCAGGCACAATCACGGACTCCCTGGGAAGATAAGACTGTCAATAACTGCAGGATTAGGCTTAGTGAGAGCACAAAAAAAGTTTCTAACATAAATTCTGATGGCTTTAGCCCCTCTTATTGAAAACATACAATTATTTATTCCTTTAACATTTTTAAACCTAAGTTCTCTGTGTATCTATTTTTATGTAAAATAGCTAAATATATTACTGCTCTTAAATATTATCCCCTGATAAAAATACTGAATTCAGATATTTTCTGAATGCTTTAATTGATTTCAGTTATTGACTGTGATCCTGAAAAGCACTTAGGCACGTGCATAACTTTAAGAACATGATGGTCCCACTGATTTCACTACCTCCCATGTGAAAAGTTAAGCATGTGTGTCAATGTTTGCAGAATCTGGGGGTAAAGCACGAATCCAGGAAAGCTTTTAAATACATGCTTAATTTTCAGCCATTTGACTTAAATGGGATGTAAGTGCTTTCCTGAATAGAGATGCTTTCCTGAAGCAGGGCCCAGGAGCAGAAGGCTGGCCTTGTGTTTAAATCAGAGGATTGGGATGAAGAAGATAATGTAGGTTTATTTCCCAGCTCTGCAACAAACTTCTGTTGTGACCTTGGGCAAGTCATTTAATCTCTCTGTGTTTTAATTCTCTATCAATAAAATGGGACTAATAATATTTCCCTTCTTAGTCTTTTCTACTTATGCCCTGATCCTAAATATGATCACATGTTGCATGTGAAGCAGCAAATACTCTTAATGGTATTTTGACTATTCACTAGAGCTGGTTGAAATTTGGAATTTCCATTTCATAGCACATTTCAACATTTTGTAATTTGTTTTCATTCTGAATGACAGCATGTGAGCAGTAGTAGTGCATAATATAAGATACTGTGTATTAATGTAAAATTAATAGATGTAATATAAAATGACAAAATCAAAAAAGAGAGACACGGTGGGTGAGATAAGATCTTTTATTGGACCAACTTCTGTTTTTGAGAGAGACATGCTTTCTCTATCACAAACAGAAGCTGGTCCAATAAAAGATCTTATCTCACCCACCTTGTTTCTCTAATGTCGTGGGACTGACACAGCTAAAACTAGACTGCATAAAATCAAAATAAAAATTAAATTTAGAAATTAAATTTCAATTTTTTTCAAAATGAAATTTTCCAAAATGAAACTTTTTATTTTAATTTTAATGGGAATTTTATCAAAATTGATATGATTTTGTGAAAATTTTTGGTTTAATCAAAACAACATTTTTCAGATGGAAAACTTGGGACAAAAGTTTTCCCAAACAGCTCAGTTATTTACCTGACACCCTTGAAAGTATCTTATAGCAGCAAAATAGTTAATATCTACTATGAAAGGATCATCACAGAGATCATATGTTTTGGAACCGGTATCTATAAGATGATATAACACCAGACAGAAATGAAAGAAAATGTTGGAACTAAGGAGACAAAACATGTTACCTTTTCCATTTGACTCCATTTGTCCAAAATGTCACTTGCAAAATTAAAGTGCTCTGGCAACTCTTTATAGAGGCTCGGTGATTCATTGCCAGAGATATTTTGAGGGGCAAATCCTCGGCAATGTTTGCTGAAGAATCTACAAGGTGACTTTGGGGTCCAAATAGAGTTAAAAATCTGGAGTTTAAGTAAAAACTTCATGGCACAAAAACCTTGTCACAGTTCTTGGTTTAGATTATATAAACATCTCAGTAGAATATTCTTTGAAGGGCTTTTGACCTGCAATGAAATTATTTATACAAACTTTAAATTGAGAGTTGCCAGAAAAAAACAAATATTGATGGACCAAAGTACTACAAATCAGTTACAAGATCTAGGCCAAGGGTCTAATCCTTGTCTCACTGGAGTACATGGCAAACGTAGGAGAAGGAAGGACTGTGCTTAACATCATTATGTTTCTCATAGACCCAAATCCTGGCCCCAGAGGAAAGCCTGGGCAGCCAGGCTGGGCATTGGGGAACTTCCTCAGGGTGTTGGAGGAAGGTATCCACCCCCACGTGGTGGAGTGGCGGGAAAACCCTTTGTCACTGCTCCAGACTCAGGGGTGGTCTATCCTCTATGATGTCAATGCCAAGCCAGTATGAGTATTTACAAATTCATAAAAGGGCAGATTCTCAGCCCCACCTATAAAGCCACTTTGCAGCATCAGTGCACAATGAGACCGTGCAAAACGGGAAACCACGGTGCATGGAGCCTAAGTACCCCTTTGTGGGCTCTCCAAATCCCCCATTCCTCACCCAATACCTTGGAACTGCATAAGTTCCTCTAGAGAATACCTATAAGGCAGGGGAATGATTTGCCCCAAAGAAACTTTTTGATAACACAAGTATTGTGGATAAACAATTCTCCTTGCTCATATGGGACATTTAGATTTCAAAGACATGGCTTTCTAACAAAGAGGATGTCTGTGATATATAATCAGTTACTCTTCTTCTTTGAAGGTTATTCTTTCTCTTCATCTAGGACAGGGGTGGGCAAACCGCGGGCTGCATGTGGCCCGCCAGCCGTTTTAATCCGGCCCTCAAGCTCTTGCTTGGGAGCAGGATCTGGGGCTTGCCCTGCTCCGGCGCTCCAGCCAGGGAGCAGGGTCGAGGGTCGTGCTGCGCGGCTTCCAGAAGCAGCAGCGTGTCTCCCCTCCTGCTCCTACACATAGGGCAGGGGTGAGCAAACTTTTTGGCCAGAGGGCCACATCTGGGTATGGCGGGCCATGAATGCTCACAAAATTGGGGTTGGGGTGTCGGAGGGGGTGAGAGCTCTGGCTCGGGGTGCGGGCTCCAGGGTGTGGCCATAAATGAGGAGTTCAGGGTGTGGGAGGGGGCTCCGGGCTGGGGTGGGGGGCATGAGGGCTCCGGCTGGGGGTGCAGGCTCTGGGGTGGGGCTGAGGATGAGGGGTTTGGGGTGCAGGAGGGTGCTCTGGGCTGGAACCTAGGGCTTCGGCAGGCGGGAGGGGGATCAGGGCTGGGGTAGGGGATTGGGGCGCCGGGGAGCGGCTCAGGGGTGCAGGCTCCAGGTGGGACTTACCTCAAGCAGCTCCCAGAAGCAGCAGCATGTCTCCTCTCTGGCTCCTAAGTGGAGGTGCGGCCAGGCGGCTCTACTGCGTGCTGCCCCGCCCACAGGCACTGCCCCTGCAGCTCCAATTGGCCTTGGTTCTTGGTCAATAGGAGCTGTGGGGGTTGCGCTTGGGGGGCGGGGGATACAAGTATTGTGGAGAATTGTGTTATCAAAAAGTTTCTTTGGGGCAAATCATTCCCCTGCCTTATAGGTATTCTCCAGAGGAACGTGTGCAGTTCCAAGGTATTGGGTGAGGAATGGGGGATTTGGAGAGCCCCAAAAGGCTCACCCCGATTTAGGACAATAGCAGAATCAAAGAGAAAATGTTCTGCAGCTTGGAATTTGTTCTGCTGGTGCCAAAAGAAACTCAGATGCTAGAGTTTCAACTTTTGTTCTAAATCTAGGACTCCCAAGTTACAAGTGAGGTCTACATTTGGCAAACCACATTCTCCCATCCCCATCTGTCTCTTCTCTAACTGATCATCTCAATAATGAAATCCTTCTAACATGGGTTTACTTATAGCTTTCCCATTTTGTAAGATTGAATTGTCTTTTTTAAAAACTTATTTTATAGGTGAACTAATTAGGCTTCAATTAGATATCAGTATAATAGTCTCTCTATGCTTACAGACAGCCCCCCAACCTGAAGCAAATACTCACCAGCAACCACACACCACATAACAGAACCACTAACCCAGGAACCTATCCTTGCAACAAAGCCCGTTGCCAACTGTGTCCACATATCTATTCAGGGGACACCATCATAGGGCCTAATCACATCAGCCACACTATCAGAGGCTCGTTCACCTGCACATCTACCAATGTGATATATGCCATCATGTGCCAGCAATGCCCCTCTGCCATGTACATTGGTCAAACTGGACAGTCTCTACGTAAAAGAATAAATGGACACAAATCAGACATCAAGAATTATAACATTCAAAAACCAGTTGGAGAACACTTCAATCTCTCTGGTCACTCGATTACAGACCTGAAAGTTGCAATTCTTCAACAAAAAAACTTCAAAAACAGACTCCAACGAGAGACTGCTGAATTGGAATTAATTTGCAAACTGGATACAATTAACTTAGGCTTGCATAGAGACTGGGAGTGGATGGGTCATTACACAAAGTAAAACTATTTCCCCATGTTTATTCCCCCCCACCACCCCGCGCCTGTTCCTCAGACGTTCTTGTCAACTGCTGGAAATGGCCCACCTTGATTATCACTACAAAAGGTTCCCCCTCCCCCCGCCCCGCTGTCCTGCTGGTAATAGCTCACCTTAAGTGATCACTCTCGTTACAGTGTGTATGGTAACACCCATTGTTTCATGTTCTCTATGTATATAAATCTCCCCACTGTACTTTCCACTGAATGCATCCGATGAAGTGAGCTGTAGCTCACGAAAGCTTATGCTCAAATAAACTTGTTAGTCTCTAAGGTGCCACTTGTTAGTCTCCTCTATTTTATATGACCCGTGTTTAGGTTCAATGATTTTAAAAGTTTTATAAACAAACAAACAAAAAATGCAACCAACCGAGCAAGCAACCAAAAACTCACCTAATGGCAACTCCAGTTTAGTAATATCTTTTTTCTGATTTTCTGGAATTTAGGAAAGATGTTGAACTTGCTGGTCACTTGCCAGCTACTCACATTCCACAGGATGAACTGTAACACACTGGGGAGAACAGAAAGTCTCTGAGAGCTCCTTGCAGATCTGCAAGACAAAGTGAATACTTTACCTATTAAGGATTTCAGAACATAGAAGTAAACATTAACTTTCAATATGAAACACAAATTCTTTATTTGCTAAAATAAAGTTTGTTCTAAATGCTGTTTTTAAATAGGTAAACAGGGCATTTCTCAGTGTTCTAATGCAGACAAAAAAAGTTCTTAACATATATTTTCTCTCTCTCACCTTATGTAGGTATCAGACAGAGGAAATATTGCTGATAATACAGATTAGGATCTTGAATATCATTTTGTGTTTAGATCTCATTTAGAGCTTTTTTGAGCCAAATTCACTCCATTCACTTTAACTGGATTGCACCAACAGAAAACCTGGTCCTGTGTGTTTATCTATATTGCTGAATAGTGTTTAATAAATATGAATGTTATGAGTTTGACTTAATCCTCTGGATTTTATCTGACAAATACCAGTAAGTAAATATTTTGTTTGTGTACTTTACTTTCCTTTATAATGTACAAAAACTGCCTCATAATTTAAAAAAAATGTTTTTCTTCTTGACTTTAGTTTGGGAATTTCCCTGTTTGGGACTCCTTGGAGGATTAACAACATACATTCAAAACAGTGAAATGTGGGTGCTGAGGAAGGCTGAAAGGTGGTGGATTGATGTTTTTGATTCTCGTTGTCTTGGTCAGCTGCGCCTACTATGGGCACAACAAGATTAAAGCAATGCCGATATTTGTAGCCAAACCCAGCAACTGCCTCCATCAATACTGGTTTGGTTTTCGTGGCTTTCTTGGTCTATGTGAGACAAACTGCCTCCAAACCAGGACTACTCTCTCAGCTGCCCCTCTTACAGAGCCACTGTGAATCACCCCTCAGGCTTGCAGCAACAGCTCACAGTACTTATTTACCCTTTTCGCAGAGGCTACAATGACTCAGCCTTCAGGCATGCGGCAGTACCCTATCCCTGGGTTAGATGACCACCAGGATCAGGTATTTTCCCCCACCCCACCATAGCTGTAGATCAGTCTGTGCAACAGCATTACCCAACTAGGAAACCTCCTGCTGTGTTGCAGTGTATCAGACTTTATAGACTCCCAAGCTGCTCCTGATCTAGTGCCTGTTCCTTCCCCAGCCTTGCCTGAGACCTGTTCCAGTCTTGTCCTTGCCCTAGTCTGACCTTGCTCCGGTTCTGTTAATGAACCACACATCAGCCTTGCCTCTGCCTCCTGCCCCCCTCAGACTCTGACCATGAAGATTTGACCTTTGGCTTGCACTTGGACTCAAGCTACAGTACTGCTTTTGGCTTGTTTACAGACTACGATCTCAGTTCTGACCCCAGCCTGTCCCCGAATCTTGGTTCCAGCATCACCCTCAGCCCAATCCTGTTCCTATATCTGACTTTGATCTCCACTCCAACTACCAGGCTTGACTATTGGGAGTCAGCGCCTGATAGTTTGCATAGACTCCACTGTACTGTACCGCAGGGCCTTGATGGAGCATTTGAGTCCCTGTTCTAGACCCTCCAGAACCAAATTGTCCAGCTGCAGTTAGAGAATGCCTTCCTCCAATAGCAGGATTGTGGTCCAGAAATCCCCTTGCCAGAATTGTTTGATGCAGACTGCCACAAGTTCTGAGGGTTTATCAATCAGTGCTGCTTGCTATTCCTGATGAGGCCATCTTTGTACCCAGATGACCAGATGAAGGTGGTTATTAGTCTACTGTCTGAAGAAGCCCTATAGGGTCTGACTCATCCTGGAATGGGCAGACCCAATGCTGGGCCACTTTGAGGAATTCATTCACTCCTCATTAGTATTCCGTGACCCCAACTGAGCCCATACTGCTGAAGCAACCATACAGTTCCTCACCCAGGGCTCATGACCCATCTCCACCTATGTAGCCCTCTTATGGCACTTGGCGGCCAATTCAGCCTGGAACAAGTGGTTCAAGTCTAACATTTTTGTCAAGGATTGACTGACGCTATAAAGGATGAGCTAGCTCAGGCTGACTCCTATACAGAGTTACTACTCTACATCAAACTCTGCATTAGAATTGAGAACAGGCTGCTCAAATGTCCCCTGGAAAGGAAATAGGCTACTACCCTTTCCTAGCCTAGTGTCAAGAGCTTCCATATATACCTTTTGCCTAGTTTTGGACCTGACCCCATGCAGATTGACAGCCCCAGGAAGCACCTCACGGCCAAAGAGAAGGAATATTGGCATTGAAATGGCTTTTGCCTGCATTTCAGAGGAGGTAGTTGCTTTGTGTCAGGGTGGCCCCACAAATCCAGACCTGCTACAGTGCCAGGAAGCTACCCTATCCAATCCCAGTAGAGGGGTCATGGCTGGACATGACCTGGAAGGCAAGCTCTTCTGCCTGACTGTGTCCTGGCAGTGGCAGAGCCCACCAACCACTCCTCCAGCTGAGAGCCCCTGCCATGCCCAAAGTAAGCTGTACTTCATTTGCATTAATCAACTCTGGGACGTCCAGCAACTTTGTGGACTTGGCCTTTGACTAGGCCAACCACTTGTCCATCCAGAGGAAGTTGTTTCAGAGCATGTAGAAACTATTGATGGCAGTACGCTGATTTCCAGGCCAGTTGCCTATGCGACAACCCCTCCCCAGGTTAGGATTGGGGATCACCAACTATGCAATTCAACCTAATCCTTGCACCGCACAGTCCGGCTATATTGGGCCTCCCTGGCTCTCCCTTTACAAAATGAACATTTTGTGGGTGGCACGGGAGATATGGTTTAACTCCAGGTTTTGCTGGCTGCAGCATCTATGAAAACCCAGCAGGGAAGACGCTGGGACCTCCCTCTTGGAAGGCATCCTCCCTGCTCTGTACTACCTGTTTCCGAAGATACTGGTTCATCAATCCCAGTCAAGTATAGCGATCTTGTGGATGTGTTCAACTAACAGAAGGCTAACGTTCTACCCCCCACACTGAACCTATGACTGTCCTATAGACCTCCAGGCAGGGGCAAAGATCCCCTTTGAACACATTTACCCATTATCAGAACCCAAACTCAAGGCCCTATGGGATTATCTGGATGAAAATCTGGCTAAGAACTTGATTCGGACCTCCAAATCCTCTGCTGGCGCCCCCATCCTGTTTGTTAGAAAGAAGGACAGGACACTGCACCTCTGTGTTGATTATTGTGCCCTGAATGGTATTACCATCAAGAACAAATACCCTCTTGCGCTGATCAACAAGCTCCTAGAACAGGTTGGTGTGGCAAAGGTCTTCACCAAGCTCAACCTGCACAGTGTGTACAACCCCTTCTACATACAGGAGGGTGATGAGTAGAAGACAGCCTTCCAAACCTGGTATGGCTACAGTGAAAACCCGGTTATGTTCTTTGGCCTCGCCAACGCCCCAGCCACATTTCAGTGTTTAGCGAATGATATCTTCAAGGATGTCCTAGACCAGTTCACTGTGATTTACTTAGAAAACATCCTTGTCTTCTCAGAGAACCAGACTGTGCATTACCAGCATATCCTAAAAGTGCTGGAACACCTTAGGAAAAATGGCTTATATGCCAAACCAGAAAAACATGAATTTGACTGCACCATATTTGATGTAGCTGATTTTGTGTCATCAAAGAGGATCACCATGGATCTATGAAAAACTGCCAGCATTATGGACTGGGCCCCACCAAGGACCATCCATGACATCCAGTGCTTCCTGGGATTTGCAAACTTCTACTGGAGGTTTATCAAGGAATTCTCTTGAGTACTTGCCCCAATTACCCAACTCCTCTACGAGAACTCCACCTGCATCAGGACATCAGAGGGCCAATGGGCTTTTGAGCAACTGAAGGACTTCACCTCTGCACCCATATTGAGGCACCCGGATCAATCCAAGCCCTTTGTTGTCAAGGATGCTTCCAATTATGCCATTGGGGCAGTACTGTCACAGCTTCAGGGGTCATCTAGCATTCTCCATCCATGCGCATTCTACTCCAGAAAGGTAAGTCCTATGGAGCAGAACTATAAAATCTATGACAAAGAGCTGCTAGTCATCAAGACTGCCTTGAGGAGTGGTGTGACCACTTGGAGGGTGCATGTTTTTCCATCCACATATTCACCAACCACAAAAACTTAGAACACCTGCAATCTGAGAAAGCCCTCAACCAGTGCCAGATCCAATGGTTCCTGTTTTTTCATGCTTTGAGTTCACTACATTATTGACCCGGAGGCCAGAATGGCAAACCCAATGCACTCTCCCGCAAGGGGGAGTGCCTTTCTGGCAAAGAAGGACCACCAGAACCTTCCGCCATACTGAAGTCCCACAATTTCGCCAATGTATTAATGAACATGGACCTATTATCTCTTACAGAATCCTCCTTATCGAGCAACCAATTGGCGACTAAACAGATGTTTCCTAATGCTGAGCCCAACCCAGGTTTTTCTGTCAAGAATGGGATACTTCTGTTCCAAGGCTGTGTTTATGCACCTGAAGGCTCACTCTGTCTTGCAATTCTCTGACTATGACTCACCTTCTGGACAGCCATTATGGACATCGGAAGACCGTGAAACTGATCACATGACATTTCTGGTGGCTCCAATTGCATGCCTCTGTGAGGTTGTACATTGACTCATGCAAAGTATGTTGCTACATGAAGACCCTCCCATGCTAAGCCCCTCGGTCCCCTGACCTACTCCTTCACAACCCTAGGAATCTATATCTATGGATTTTATTGTACAGTTCCCTAATTTCCAGAACCACACCATCATATTAGTAGTAGAAGACCTCCTCTCCAAGATATCCTACTTAGTGCCCTGCTGCAAGATCCCCACCACAGAGGTGACAACCCATCTATTTTTTGACCATGTTTTAAGGCTTATGGGTTACCTTCCAATACCATGTCACACCACAGACCACAGTTCATCTCCCACTTTTGGCAGGAATTTTTCCACCTCTTAGTTATTGACCTATGTCTCTTCGCCATCTATCATTGCCAAATGGATGGGCAGTTGGAATGAGTAAATCAAGTTTTAGAGCAGTGCTTGTCGTGTTTTGT